ATTGATCGATTAAGAAAACCAATAAAACATAAAACAGCAAAATCTTTTCTATCTCATAAATATTGTATTATTCCACATCAGTACATATTTCTACTTTCATCACTGAATAATTCCTCGTGAAATTTTATTAATTTAATAACATAACCCAATCCAACAACAGCAAGATGCGGAATTATGCAGATTACCGGAATAATGAAAAAAGGAAAAACATCAATCTAAACCTATCGGAGACGTAATTTTGTATATAACAACAGCTCTAGTTCTAGTCCTAATCCTTATGCTAATTAGATAAATAATTCTGGCCATATTCAGAAAATTTGTTACTGTTGTTATCCTAATCCAAACACTAATACTAATCTAAATAATTATTAGGATTTTATATGACGATATAACAACACACCCTAATATTAACCATAAAGAGCTGTTAATGGTTTTATAATACGACTTTTTTTATCTTAGCATTAACCATAAAAAGAGCTGTAAGTTATTATTTTTACTTTATTCGATTTTTGATTTTCCACGTTACACCTTGACGATGGCTAAAATTCGCCGCGTTTATGTTGCGCTAGATAAATCTACAAATTACCAATTACTACAATAGATTATACGTTGTATATTAATTTAAAAAAAAGGCTCACATTTCATTTAATGACCTGTGATATATTGTATATAAAATTAGCAAAATTTATATCGAATGGGAAACTAGACCAGAATCAGGGACCGAAGAAAATTTGGAAATCATATAAATAAAATCCAGAATTTCTTATTTTAGAATTTACATGTAAATCGAATTTTGGAATTCTGGTCTAGGTTTTTCCGAATTTGTCCGATCGAAAATCACGGAGAGTTCTTCCTAGAGTCCGAATAATTAAAAGGTCATGAATACGTAATATATACATCTTGTTAACAGTTAATGTGAGCCTAAGTTATAGGTAAGAGTAACAGAATTATGATCATTTACTTTTAGCAGTATATATAATTGAAACGCTAGAGACGAAATTAAAGTAATATTTGAATAACAAAGTTGATTATGTAAGATTTTTTTTCACCAATCAAATAATTTTCTGATATTGATTGGGTTCTAATATGTATACGCATGTGTCGTCGATCAATCAAGAGACCGAAAACTTTCTGCAACATGATAGAGGACTATCAGCCTTAGCGTTAGCGTTGGTAAAAAAAACTTTTTTTCCTATATCCGATACTATTTATAAAAGAAATTTCCTAAATGAGCCTTATGATTTACCATTACGTACAGTTACGTACAAAAGTGTAAGACTAGCTAAAAAAGTAAATATTATGTTCTTTATTTTATTTTTTGTTTTGTGCAAGCAAACAATAGCCATCTGATTCAATCTCTATAGTCGTTGTGTAAAATAATATTTTCAAAGAAACTACAAATAATGAATGCAAATTTCAAATGTACAATCAGCTCTCTCTATAACGAACTCTGGGCACTGGTGGTTCTTAAGAAAACATAGTGATTCAAATATAACGAAATTTTTTTCTTCTTATAGAACCACTAGCTCGCATAGAGAGAGTTGACTTTAATAAAGAATTTTAACAAAAATGTTATTTAACAAACACTTAAACGGGATTCGCGGGACCTTGCTGTTATTTCTCGTATTAATTTTTGTAAAGTTTAGTTTCAGTCAAACAGTGCTAAATACTCCAAAAACTTCTGCAGGTACAGAAACGCTAACAATAGCAACTTCTACAAATATAATAACACATGTTCCTTCATCTTCTAAAGTTACATCTATAATTGTAACAACGCAAGTTTCTATACCTTCTGTAGTGATAACGACAACAACGCATGCTTCTACAACTTCTGTAGTGTCAACGACAACTACGCAAGCTTCTACAACTTCTGTAGTGGAGCCGGCAGTAGCGCAAGTTTCTACAACTTCTGTAGTGGAGCCGGCATCTACAACTTCTGTAGTGGCGCCAGCAGAAGCACAAGTTTCTACAACTTCTGTGGTGACACCACCAGCAGCACAAGTTTCTACAACTTCTGTGGTGACACCGGCAACAGCACAAACACCTGCAGTTCCTACAGGTTTTACAACTTCTGGAACTTCTGTAACTACAACAACAACGGAGACAACAATACAAGAACCGACACCTAATCCTGGAGCGCCGAAATCGAATACAAGTTCATCTTACAATCCACCTGGAAAATCCCCAACACTACCACCAACCGAAGCAACAACGATTATTAATCAATGCACAAATAATACGATGTATTGTCATATAGAGTATGTTTTTTATTAATAATTTAAATCTTTGCAATATACTGTAGCACATAAAATTAAAAATTTTATTAATTCTTTAAAACAGTACTAATACAAAAGTCACTGGAAAAATATTTACAAGTACAGCAACAGATCAAAAGATTACTCTAACCCCTTCTTATGAAAAAACAATTACAAAATTCACAATTACAACGTTTATACAAACTATTACTCAGGTATATCCAGGATATACAACTACTATAACTACTAACATCAATGGAGTGGAATCGACATATGAAACATATTATCCACCAAGTACTTTAGTTGTGATGCAGACAGTAACTGCTTCTGTACCTGCTATTGAAGCAGGACAATCTAGTAATATTGGCATTAATTTCAGAGATTATAATGGATTAGTAAATATTATTTGGAGTTTGTGGATTATAATTTGGAGTTTAGTATATATGATTTTAACTTGATCTTTATTGTCAAATTATTTTTGGCTGTTTATTATCATAAATGACTTTTTTTTGTTCTTAAAATTTTAATGCTAATCACAAATTAAAGTCTTAGTATTTAAATATATGTGTAAAATTAAAAAAAAAAAGCATTATCATTATTATTGTCGCGTATAATGAAATGATAATATATTATTCATCCATCTGATACGTAAATAATTAATAAAGAGTGCGCCGAACGACGTAGCAATATGATTTTCTTTTTACGTACGTAAATATATCTGATGTAAGACATTATACTATAACTTAAGATTATAACTGAAGTTATACGTATAGTACGTACGTGCTGCTCCTCCCAACTATTCTGATTTCTGGAACTCTCTATCTTCGAAGCACATTTTATAAAAACATTAACTACAGTGTTGGCAATTTGACAAAATTATTGAATTGAATGTCATAAAAATGTGTCATTTTTGTCATAAAAAAATGTTATTGATATGATTTTATTATGTTTTTATAAAATTTACGTGTCATTTATTTGTCATAAAAAAGTCATATTTGTCATTTTGCCAACACTGACAATATGTACTTTGTTTAAAAAAACATATGAATAATTTGTCTTTAATATATGAATGCCGTTGTGTACAGTCTATGGAATATATTCATGACGATAGATTTTCCGTAGACGGTCAACTGTACACAAAATATAATTAAAAGCTTAATGACAGGTTTTCTTTCGACGACACTCATAGTATTTTAACAATCATTTAGATATTTTTCTAATATAATCTATCATAATCGTCGAGTGTTGTCTTGGTTAACGCTTTTGGCAATTTGTTTGATTCTGCTTCGGACTTATTATATTTCTTGTTTACTTGCTCCTTGCTAATAAATTTTTTTTTGTACTTGTTTTTACTATTTATTACGAATCATAGCTTCAAAATATATCTAGGTGTTGACCTAATATTCGAGCACTCTCATATTCATAGTACAATATCGTTAAAAAGATTGAGAAATTTAGGTAAAACTTAGTATTAGATATGCAACTGAACTTACACCAAAAAGAACGGTAAAAATTTATGATATTTACTAGTGTTGTGGGTGAAATTTAACTTTCCAAAATGCAAATATTCCTTTAAATTGAAATACTTTAACTAGAGAAACCATTTTGGATATTCTAGTTAGACATATACTAATTTTGCAAACATTGTTACTTTTCAAATTCAAAATATTTTGTCATTGAAATAATTGTAGCTACTTTATGAAATATTCGGTTTAACCTGTAACATAAAATTACAAAAAAATTTGTAAACCTGTGAAAAAAAAAATAAAATTACGTGACATAGAAACGACAAATTCGTATAATATTATTTTTATACTCAAGAATTAAAATGAACTATTATCCGGCATCTTACTATGATCGTACAGTACCAACAGAATAACTAGTACTTATTTTGATGATAATTGCATTATCATCAAATAGTTTCGTTATTTGATGAAGATGCAATCACTATTAAAAGAACTCGAGTCATTCTGTTGGTTCGGTCGTCGTAAGATACCGGATAATACCGATATTGAATGCTACTCAGCCAAATGATGAAATTATTTTACAAATAATTTCCGCTATTGGCTGCTTCGCATCCAATAACTATATCAGATATATTACTTCACGTTAATTTAAACTGTAATTTATTGGCTCTATGCACAGTTATGAACTTTAAAAAAGGTCCACCACGAAGTTTTTGTAATAAATAAATAAAATTTTTTTCTCGATTAACTTTTATTACATAAAAATTAAATCGTGAATTATTTCATCACCCACTCGTTCTCATGCGAATAATACACGTTCTATAACTATAATAACTATACTACACTGTTTGTATAATATTACTTTCAGTTTAGTTAATATGTAAAATAATTACAATAATTTTTATTAATTTATGTGGTACATTTTACCTATAACGTAAAAAACGAATCAAGTCCATCTTTGTTGTAACAGCTAAGGCCCATTTCCTTTCACTATCTGTAACAATAGCAAAACTATGTTTCTCAAAAAATTTTGCCAGTTCAGATAATGGCGTATCAGGTGTAATTATTTGATATATTTGACGACGTATTTGATTCTGTGAATTTCTATTTCCGAAGGTAAACATCCATTTAGAAACTTCATCTGTTAAGGTCGCATCACCTGAGTCTAACTTATCTTGAAGAGATGTTAATGATACATAGCCAAGAAGTTTACGATGCGAATTGGTCACTGGTAACTGTGAAAATTCTCTTTCAACCATTAGATCAAACGCATGGGCTATTGTTACACTAGGCAACACAGTAACTGCCGCTGGTAATTGAAGATCTTCTACACTTGCCTAGAGATAAAAATACTCTTGTTATTAATAAAGATAGCGATATAATAAATTAAGTCATAACACAAAGTCATGATATAAAATGTCTCTGATTACCGCTCTGTATTTTTCAATTCTTTGGTACTCAAGTTTCTGAATAGTTTGCTCATCCATCAGATCATTTTCCAATAGCCAATCTTCTGACAACAAAGTGCTGGAATAATTTTTTGCAGCATCATTTAAAATACAAAGTATGCGTGCTTTGGTGGTTGGAGGTATATTCTTCTGCACGTAAGATAAAGCTGCACTAACAACTAACCCTGATGATGGTCCTATCAAAACATCATTTACGGTTTGTATAAATAAATTATTAAAAATAATAATAATAATAATAATAATAATGTACATATATCAAAATTAAGTACGTACCAGCCATAAATCCCTCACTAATCAATTTTCTTGCTGTAGCAAATGAATCTTTATCACTGACTTTTATCCATGCATCAATAAGAGAAGCATCCAAAATAGAAGGCGTGAAATTATTGCCAATATCCTCAACTTTTTGTTCCTTGAAAATATAAAAAAATTCAAATAAGATCGTCCAAGATTATCTGAAATAATTTTTATTAATTATTTAAAATTTTTATTGTGCTAAATACCTTTACTGTTGATGAATCGATCAACTTATTTTCTTGTATTCTTGAATATTGAGGTTCCACAGCCAGAACCTACATACAAATTAAAGTGTATTGAGTGAATACTAGAAAAGGTATCAGATTTATGAAATTTATGTGTATTAAAGTTTGACATTTGGTGAATCATCGTAATCAACTTTTAAAGCAGCTCCTTTTAAGTACCTTTAGCTCTGGTATCCGTCCCTTAAGGTTTTTAGCGAGTCCAGTGATGGTACCTGCAATGGCAAAAATTAATTTAATAATTAATGGACTAACGATGGATAATAATTTTTCAATTCTCACCTCCAGATTCTACACCGACAACAAGAAAATCAAGTCTCCCTTCAACTTGTGTATAAATTTCTTCCGAAGTTTCTTCATAATGTACTTGTACATTACTTTGATTTGTAAACTATTTAATTTTTTGAATATTAGCCACAAATTAAATTCTTTAAAATGGTTAAATTTAAATATTTACCTCATCGATTACAACAGAATTTACAATTTCAGATGACAATTTTATCGCCAAATCAAAATTACTTTCTGCATGTCCAGGTCTAGCTTCATTTGGAGTTCTTATAATTTCAACTCCTAATGATTTTAAAATACGAATACGGTCGATACTTGTACGTTCCGGTACAAGTGCAATGGTTTTATACCCTTTTTTTTGAGCCAAAAGTGCAATGCTTATACCTATCATTGAACAGATTTACTTTAAATAATAATGGAGCATGAAATCAATTTTTAGAAAAAAAAAATTATTTTTTTTACTAACCAAGATTACCACTTGTAGGTATTAGTAAAGTTGAATTTGGACCAATTTTATTGGATTTTTCCGCATCTGTTTATTATCAAGAATATTTGAACTTAATTCATCATTATAATCATATTTAGTATATAAAATTACCAGATAATATTTTTTTGGCTACACGATCTTTAATACTTCCTGACAAACAATTTGTATATTCTAATTTAGCCAGTAATTCTATATCATTAGACGTTGATAGAGATGTATCAGAATTAATAGTGGAAATGTTTAAACGAACTATTGGAGTGTTGCCAATTGTTTCAGATATATCATTATATATTGGTGGTGGCGGATGTTTTGACATTTTTTTTCCAGGGTACGAAAATTTAAAATTATAGAAAATCAACCGTACTTAATACGTAACGGTAAGAGAAATTATCCGTATAAATTAACATGTGATTATCATCACGGTTGTGTATCGCTAACGTTGCACGAGATGATAACTTGGTTATAGCCGGATAATCGGTTAAACTGCTAAACTTTTAAATGATTTTTCTTTGAATGTTATTAATTAAAGTTGTTCAGAACTATATTATATTACGATAAAAAAAACTGTTACCTTCTCTAAAACTCAAACAGTCCAGGACTTCTTATCGGTTACAGATCAGTATAATGATAACTATCCTGTAACCGATGATAAACTTTAACTGATGTCACCGGTTATAACCGAACACATCACTAATTATTTTGTGATGATAAGATCATTTATGGTGCAGTTTCAAAGACTCTTTTTTAGATTGTATTTGCAAATATATGTATATATACTGTATTTGTTCGAAATGGCTCTTAGGAGTGTAGGTTAGACGTTTGGCCCGAATTAAGATTAATTCAGGCCAAAATTCTAACCCACACCCCTGAGCTTTATTTTGGGAAAATACGTTATGTAGCTTTGCTAAGTTATCATAATAAAATAAAAGTTGAGACATGACAGGGCAATTTAATAATCATGATTTTATAATGTAATTAAATGTGATTAGCAAGAATTATTTTTTATAAAACCTTGCAATCAGAAACGTGATTATAGACAGTGTTTTCATACATTAATGGTAATCTGGAGTGAACAAATATTTCATATACCATAACATATTCGGAACTATTCTTTTCAATCACCAAGGATCACGCTCATCACTTAAGAAGCTCGCAGAATCCAATATCTATTTATAAACCATAGACAGATGTTCATGGTGTTCACGGCGT